GGAAACGCATTCACTCAAAACTTCCAAGCGAAGTGTAGCTTACAAGGGATTTGGCCGGAGAGTGGAGTACCTCAGCACTTGTCTAATTTAGGCGTCAAGGTTTACCGGGTAATGCAAGGAGCCGAGGCGAGAAGAAGCGGAAACAAAGCGCAAGCGATAATGAAGTTGGCATTGGTTAATAAACCAGTTAGTGTTGCACTGGGTTATTCGCTGGAGTCGAACCGCCGAAACTGATTGGGTCAACTTGGTCGCACAGGTTTTCATCGAATACGTCCGTGTGTATCGTTAAGCAATACTGCGCCTGAGTGCATAAGTTCAAAAGTATCCAATCGATGGGATAGAAGAGTATAAAGAAACTAAATGGAAAATTAGTTAGAGTCCATGCGGCTCGTTTTCAAGGATGGAGGCCACAAGCTCAACCATATCAACGACGGGAGATAGTGACGAATATTACACGGTCAAAAAATTAGCAGAACTTACGCATCCACTTGTCGTTTGACAACCTTGACATTTTCCCGATATCCGCTAATCAATGTTGCATGGTGATATGGACAAAAACCACCAGATCCACAGCAGTTCAGTGCGTAGCAACTGAGATGCGGATCTGTCAGCCACACGATCTCTGAAAGCAGGCTGGAGCATCTAAGTTGAAGTCAGGTACCATGAAGCTAGATTGCTCAGTAGCAGTTTTAAGCATCAGTTTGAAGTGACGAGTAACTCTGCTTTCTAGTCACGTGCGAAGGCCACTTAAAGAAACAACTGAAGGAGGGTTTGGTCAGTACAGAAGAAAGGCCGGGAGCGACGGACGGTTAGTAAGCAAAACGATGGGGCGGTTGGAAGGTTCATCCGGGCAAAGACAAGTAACGCACCAGAATGTGATGAATACTAAAATGAAGTTGTCTATGGTTCGTTAAATGAGATCAACCTTAATGGGTAGAAATTAACTGGGTTGCAGGATCATGCGAATCATCCGCAGTTGGTAAATTCATGAAGAAAACCGTTGCGCTTCTAACCCACTGCCATTGCCCTCACCTGACGTGAGTTACCACACGTCACTGAGATAGTTAAATGATTTTAGCACCAGTAAAAGATAGCAACTAATAATTTGGGACAACCGTGTGAAAGTCAACCGCTATTCGAGACCCGTGCACCTTAATTGTTATGGTGAGCCGATTTTGGCATTGAGTTATTCCACTGAGCGCTAACTCGTTGGACTAGAAAGCGAAACCTAGAGTATGAGTTAAGATGTAAAAACAGAGCCGTGAAGATGTGGATGCTAGTACAAGCAGCGCAGTGTGCTCATGAAAATATACAGAAGCAATACTAATGAGTAGGCTGAACAAGTTGGGGTATGAGCATGACAATCCATTGGGAAGCCAGCTAGCAGATACAATATACTTAGGGTCTTGTTCGCGCACGGATTCCAGATCAAGACAACTCGTTCATTACACGAAGTAAAGGGAGTCCATTATCGAAAGTAAAGGTAATGAGCGCGGAACGTGAATGGTGGTGGAATAGAGGAAAAATCAAGGGGGTAACACTCACGTTGCATCTTTGGCGGTTTCGTGAAACCTTGAGATTTGGGGTGATTTCCTGTAACCTTACGTCTCTTGTCCCGAGTGTGTCGTGATACGTCCTCGGAATCAGTACCCTCCGCTGTTTCGGACTCAACTTCCTCCTCCACATCCATTTCATCATCGTCACTCTGGTCGCCAGGATCGGAACTTCCCGGATTCCATTCCTCGTCGTCATCTTTTCGCTTCCGCTTTGCTGCAGACGAACGCGAACAGTTATGCAAGCCAATGAGAATGGAGGCGTAACGAATGCAACAGTGGATACAAAGAAAGGGAAAATGGGTATGAGGATTTGTGCAAGCGCGAGTTCAATTCGCAAACAAATTTTAACAGTGATGAATAGTGGTGATACATGGCGGTTCCAGATGTATGCTGGTTTAACACTGCCATGTTGGGCGAGAGTAGCCTCGGTTGCTTCTTACTTGATTAACGGTGTATTTAGATTATTGGTGGTCTTTTTGGCAAAAAAGGTGAGAAGTGGATTCATTGAGAGGCGCGTATCACTGTGTAAATCAGAAACGTTTCACAGAACAGCGCTATTAATAAAACCTCGCATCGAAGCAGTCCATATGACGCTGGAAATACACGTGGGACAGTATACCTGAGCACAGAGAATAAGTGAGTGACAGTGGCTATTCAAATAGGATTTGTGGCTGGTCTAAGGGTAGTTTCCAGAGTACTATCTTTCCATATGATATAACCGTTGCGTAGATGTCACGAACAAGTGATATTTATTTGTAAGATCAATCAGTTTAAGTGAGTCTTAAGACTAAAGTGTATATACAAGGACGTGAGATTACAGCTTAAGAGTCAGAGGAAGAGTATTTTGGGACGAAAACCTTAAAAACTAGCATGGTGTAACCTCTACTAAGTTTTAGTTACGCAACGAAGCCTAAGATGATAAATTAAGACTAAGTATATCCGGTGACGTGTTTTAATGCGATTAAGATAGGGAACAAGTTCGTATCCAAATGAGGCGCAAGTTCCGCCACGACCGGAAGCCAATGACGATGTCGAACGAACGTGTTGCAGGGAACAGCCATGCAAGCACGGTAGAACTAAGATTAAAAAATTACATGTGTCAAGAAGTCTAGTCAGAAACCTTGGTTTCCTAGAACAGCTAGGTTAGCTGCTAAAAACAAGTGACAACTAGTTCAGTTTGCAGGCATGCAGCGTGCCAGATGGAAGCAACCAGCTTCAATGTCGAATTAAATTTCTTTCAGGAACACATTCTTCCTTCCTCAGATCTCTCCTTCTGACATGGCTGCAAAAGAACGGGATGAAAGCTCGAGGCAAATTCTGGAAGCCATCTTGGTCATCTCCTTCCCTTTCGCAGCGCAGTGGCCTTAAGCAGTGACTTAAAAAAGGTCACTGGGGTCACTGGTTTTAGTTACACATGGATTAGATGGTGGTGAAATGACCATTTAGTGCATTTCCGGAGGTGTGATGGTCGCTTGATTGTTTGGTTGTTATGAATTCAAATTTTCTACCAATTGAATGAAGAATCCTGCGTAAAAATGCCCGCGATTCTCTGCTTAGCCGTTTGAGTGTGAGTGAAAAAGGGACAACGGAACAAGATCGAGTAGTGTTCGCGGAACTCAGTAAAAACAGTTTGGGCGAATTGGGTAACATTACCCACTACAAAGCTTTCCGGCTAGTAGGTGACGAAAACCTGTCGCGATTTTGAGACATTGGTGTTGATCATCCATAGTGAACACTTCAATCCAGCTGCGGTATAAGCTTAAACAAGTTTCCGACGCCGAGTCTGCAAAATGGACGTGGATTAGTTACCACGGTTTTGTAGAAGATGTCCATAAATTGTACTGAATAGTCCCACCGAATATCCTCCTACTCATTAGTTATCCAAAAGTGCCGATTTTCGCGGTTCTTTACAGTGATGACTTGATAATCTTTGGTAGGAGCAGTTAGATGGCCTATGAAGAGGCAAAAAACGTAGACATGTATGGATGACTTCAATGAACTGACACTAGTATGCCCGTACGAAACAGTCGGTCATATCAAATTTCACTTTAAAGGTGACACCAGTGCTGAACAAAGTAATGAGTCTGCCATGGATTTTGAAGTCTTTTTGGAAAGTGGTTATAATTGGCAACGAATACATGACAAGATTCCTAGTGCTTTGTGCTCCCTTGGTACTTGAGGAGACAGGCAAAACTCTCCCTTGTGGCATCATCTGTGACGCTTTCGAGCAACGGTGACCCGAAAAAAACCGTACATGGAAAAATGCGTACAAGGAAAATTTCATCTTCGGAGAATGGCGCACATGATGTACGGCGAACACGGGAACAAACCACTTCGATCACTTTACACATAAACGACTGCCAAACATGCCAAAACCACCATGACTCATTCAGAATACTCAAGGGACAGAACACTGCTCGCCTACTGCAGTTTGCCGAAGTGTCAGCGATTTTGTGGCTCTAACGCACTTGGTGTGACCAGTTCGTGGCTAGCCTAGCCTTGGCTTGATGAGGTTGGTGACCACATCAGATGACCGATAGCCATTTTCTCAAAATGGTACTGCATATGAAAGGATACCTACATAGTAAATTTCCCACTCAGAAAATCGCTTGGACGGAAGATTTTTAGCAGTCTGCAGATGTACCCGGTTTGTTCGAGTACGATGTCTGCAATTGTAATCGAACTTACTTCCACTGCACACTTAGATGACTGATGAGAAATATGGACTGTCATTTCGAAAAGTTTTAGTAAACCGAAGAATCGGATCCTTCGCACATCTGCGACACGCCCTGCTATTCCCGCTACCACAATCAGCAGGGTTCACCGGTGTCACTATAGAGGGGACCCCTGTATATGCACAATAAAAGCGTGTCCTTTCATGATTCCGTTCCTCTGTACAGATATTTGAGTCTGCCACCATAAAATCTTCACGAACTCGGTCTGGTCACACCAAGTGCGTTAGAGCCACCGAATCACTGAGGCTTCGGCAAACAGCAGTAGGCGAGCAGTGTTCTGTCATCTGAGTATTCTGAATGAATCATAGAGGATTTGGCACGTTGGGCAGTCGTTTATGTGCAAAGGGGTCGAACTGGTTTATTCCCGTGTTCGCTGTATATCTTGTGCATCATTCGAAGAGGGTGAAATTTTCCGTGTACACATTTTCCCGTGTACACTTTTTGTTGCACGCAATTTTCGTGTACGCTTTCATCATGGAACCTCGACCAACATACCACTTGAATAAGGAGAAACGAGTTATAGCTACATGCACAGTATATAATTGGTGATTTGTTCGAGATCTAGTGTTGCTTATTGCCATCTGCCCGTCATTTTTGCAACATGCACACCAGTAAGTTGTGTAGACGAATCTCTTTCTACCAGAAAACTATCATGTCATGGTGCAGGCAATCACTTACTATTGTGAAAGTCGAATGAGCATTTTACCACGAAGCCCTCGTACTAGATGGAGCTCACCACACGGTAGCTAACGCAGAAGATAGCAGCAGACCCGAAAAACCAAATAGTCCACTTGTTCTTCGCGGTTTATTAACAGTGTGAGATCTTCCCGCCGCTTACGTAGTTTGGGCAACGAATGGCTCATGCCGTGGTCTCGCAAAAAAAGCCCGAAAGCCTTAGTGGCTAGAGGACGCTGTGCAACGTTGGCGACTACGAAGATGAGTGGGTGTCACGATGACTGTCCAGTCATATGGCTCCCCGGATAATTCTTGGTGAACCCGGCAGCCCTTCAAAATCATTTCCCTCGGTTACCATCAGCTAGGTTGGAAAGGGCAATTTCCGAGACAGACTTAAGATGGATCAGAGTACACCATGTGACTACGAAAGGACCAAGCACGTCGCTTACGAACCAGAAGTCCAGAAGACTCGTTGAAATAATCACTCTAGAGTGCAGACAGTGCACTAAACGTTTAGCCCATAATATATGTTTGGCCGTTGTATAACGATAGCGCGTTATGACTGGTTAGTCACATCTTTAGAAGCACAAACCCTAGGATAAATCTTGTAGAGTCATTATGTTACAGGAGTGTAAAATCTCGTCTGAAGGTTGTACGCGTCTTCAAAACTGGGGAATGCTAAGTAAACGGCCTCCGCCTGCAGTGGAATGCTGATTACATTTGTCTTTAAATGCGGTTGTAAACCTTCGATTTAAAGAGGAGCTGAATCATCTACAATAGCGGATTCAGTCAAACAGTGAGTAGGTTGCGATTACAAATAGCGTGCTAAACCCTGGGGAACGAGCTCAAAGCTTCTACCGAAAACCATTGGTCTAATGCGTCTTCGGATTTGATGATGCCGCATGGGAGAACTCACCACCCTCATAAAATCTGGAAGAAGCATGATCAGAAAGCAGAAGGAACGCGATCCACTTGATCCGCAGAGCGTTAGGTGAGGGACCCAGAGGCCGAAATCTCATTAATTTGGTATTCCATGATGGTTTGAACGGGCTAGTTCCACTAATAAACAAACAAGTAACCACGTGCATGAGGCTTAACAGAGATACCTTAAAAAGTTCATATAACACCTGATGAAATGTCCGATAGAACTCAAGTGGATGCAGGAACTAAGTTAAGCAACGCATAAGAGCGTCACTGTCACATAAGTCAAAATGGAATGTATCGCTTTGAAACGCAAGTGGATCATCTGCAAAACGTTCTCCGATAGGATCGAGAGGATGTTTGGAAGCGTCTTCCGCTTAACGAGCAAGAAGAAAATCCGGGGGTGTGTTATCACGTAACTGGACTACACACGTGAGGACGAGTTGTGACTCTCTATTACCGTAGATAAAAAGATTTAAAAAACAATTTAGGCAGTAAAGCCAAATATGAAGAATTACCGGGTGTCTATAAAACACGGGTAACCATAGCGCATTGAGCCTACGCAGTATTCATTTGTAATGACTAAGCAGTGGGTAATTAGGCTTAATAAGACTGCACATTAGTCTAGCGTCGCACACAGAGCGCCGACACACGGAACTAGTCCACATAAGCACGTTGCTAATATCTTCAATCTAATAAAAACAGACAACACAGACGTCGATATAGACTTACGAAACCTTCGAAAAACCTCAGACTTCTTCGCAGAACTAAGGAAGATGGGCGAAACGAGAAAAAAGGAAGCAGGGTTAAATACGTGTGTAAAGAGCAGGGTTCTACTGGAGGCAATACAAACAACAGATTGCAAAGGGACGCTGTCAAGCATCATCGTCATCATCATACAGGTTAGCTAGAGGTGGAAAACACCTCAGCTACTGTGTCGCAATACATAAAAGAAAAACAGGAATAAAATGTAACAGGTGCAAGCCGGCTGAGCTACCGGTAACGGATGGGCATCGTTCCGGTAAGCTACCAGCCGGCTACGGTGCATCAAAAAAATTACTATGCAAAATTGTATAAGGCTAAATAATGAGATCGTGGTTGGAGGGGGAGGCTAAGAGGGATGGGGTGGGACAAAGAAACTCACAGCACGGCTCCTAGCCATATCAGCAAGTGTATCCAACCAGACGTGTTCATCGTCTTTCGGACCCCAACCAAGGAGCCGAGACGCTCCAACCGAGGCCAGTTTCGAAGTGAGGGCCTTCATTCCTCTCGACCAAGTCATCACTTGGCCACCACTCCTCTTCTTCCATCCATATTCCCGGCGCGCAAACAACGCACGTCGCGGAAGTCGGTGGGCTAGCATGCGTAACACATGGCCGAGTCATCGGAGCCTGGTGCGTGAAATGACGGTGCTGAGCGGTTCATTTCCTTTTCCTGTGCCGTAAAGGAGGCGCCAAACACGCTGGTTGCTTACGCGGTGTTCCCACCAGATGTGAGCTAAATTGCGAACGCACCGGTGGTCGAACGTAACTAGCCTCTTCAGGTCCGCAGATCTAAGGGGTCAGGTTTCACAACCGTACATTAGGGTCGAAGGTACCGCTGCACTGCACACTACCCTTCAGGGTGAGAGTGATGTCGCGCTGGTTGTGAAGTATTTTAAAACACATATTGATGATTATTTCGGAAACCTGTGCTTTTGTGAAACGATGCACATACAAAACCTAAGGAAGACATAGTATACCCAGAAATAATGACACCAACACGAATTCCTAACCGAACAAGGATAAGCGATGAAATGACCGAACACAACCGCTGGCGATTCACAACAAAATGTCTTTGATGTTTCATAATTCGATAGTGTTGTATAGAAAATTTCACACTTGCTCTTAAATACAGTCACAGAAGGTAACTAGCCTCTTTATGTCGGCAGATCTAAGGGGCCAGGTTTCACAATCGCACAGCAAGGTCGAACGTACCGTTGCATCGTACACTCTACCCTTCAGAGCGAGAGTGATGTCGCGCCGGCACCATAAGTGGCGAAGGTTAGCAAAAGCGCCTCGAGCGTTTGCTATACGATTCGTGATTTCAACCTCAATCCCACAGGTAGCGAACGACTTTAGCTCATCCCCACCAACGGTCAGCGTAGGAGGCGGTCCAGACCAATCTTGGAGGAACGCTTTGCAATTCGAGGGTGCAAAGCAAAGCCCGAAGTGACGGATAGCCAGTGCTAATCTGTCCACTGCCGCTTGGCACGTTTGTGAGCTGCAACAGATTAGGGCAATATCGTCCGTATACTCCAAGTCAAGAGGTCGTTCTCCTAGGAGTAGCTCCACACCTTCTAATTCGTGCCCTGTGAACGCGATTGCCATTACTTCGTCAATAGCGAAGTTGAAGAGGAAATGTGGCAGCGGGCATCCTTGTCTCACGCCGCTGGATATACTAAAGGGCGCCAACAGCTTGCCTGAGCTACGAGCGTATAATGATCGGATAATATGTACATATTTCTCAGGTACACCTTTCGTGAGTAGACAATTCCAAAGTGCACGTCTATGCACCGGAGCGAATGCACCTTTGATATCGAGGAACAACGACAACGGTGGGCCGCCAATATATGCGACTGCGCTCCAACAACTGACGCAAAATGATGTGGTCAATGCAGCCACGACCTCGACGAAACCCGACTTGATCATCACGAATATGGCTTTCACGAGTGCCAGTCAGTCTGTGAAGGATAACAGAGGCAAGCAATTTGGAGGTGATGGAGATCAGACTGATTCCTCTATGGCTGCCGCATTCCGATCGTGAGCCTCCCTTGAAAATTGGGACTATGACGGAACGGCTCCAGTCGGTTGGGACAGCTGCCTGCTCCCACACTTTCATTAGTAACTCGTGTAAATCATCCACAAGAGCAGGTCCCACGAAGTTGAAGTGCGCTGGAGGAAGATCATCTGGTCCTGCGGCTTTATTTAACTCTAACAGTGCGATCTCACGTTCGGTTTCTGAGCGAGAGGGTGGATCCAAAGGGACAGTCCACGGAGCGGAGTGATCAGTGGCCGGCGAGAAATCTAACCATTCCGACCGATTAAATTGCCTTTTAAAGTGTTCAGTCCAACGCACTAAGCGTCGTTATAAGTTGTGGATAGGCTGTCCACTCTCGTCACGTATAGTATCACTAACAACAGGTCTCCTACTGCCCGTTTCCCGTATCAGACGGAATAACTTACGATGGTTACCAAGGGCAGCGGCCATTTCCATCTCTGAAGCACGATGAGACCACCAGGATTCGCGGTCTCTCTTCAGGCTAGCACGGAGTTTTGCCCTGAGCTCTTTACAAGTTGCATTGTGTTCGCTTCCAGCCGGAATATATCCACGAGCATCGATAGGTTCCAGAGACGGCGAAGAGACCCAATGTCCACGTTGGGGATTAGACATACCACATAAGGATTTTCCTGCTGCTAGTAAGGTCTGGTGAATATTAGACCAGTGACCTTCAATTGCATCCAGTGAGCGCTTACTCAACTCGTTTGACAGCGTACTTTGATAGACATTCAGAACAGCTGGCTTCGCCAGTTGGCTGGTGTCAATGCGCTCACTACGTCGTCTTGGGTGTCCGCCAAAACGCATCCGCAGGTCAGCACATACAAGTGCATGGTCGGTGTCCACACCTGTGCTCCCAATCGAGCGACAGTTCTGGACGCAGCTCTCCATCGGTTACTTATCGCAATGTGATCGATTTGCGTCCATAGCTGGTTCGAGGCTGGTAGGCGCCAAGTCACCCTCCGGCGGGTGCTGTGTCTGAAATTAGTGCTCGCAAGAAATAAACGAGCATCCTCACACAAATGAAGTAACCGCTCACCGTTATCATTACGCGAGTCTACACCATGTCGGCCGCCCAGATGCAGCTCATCTGGGGATAATTTTCCAACTTGAGTGTTCAGATCCCCAACCAGCACAACAGTGTCCGAGCTTCTTCTGTGGCTAAGGAGCTCGTACCCACGGACGCCGCGGATTTTTGGATCAACGTGTGCTGGATACTACTTTTACCTCAGATTACTGTGTTTGCAGCGTTTTATCTGTGTGAATTGTGCACCATTATTCTTCTTTTGGCGTATTTTCCGAGCGGTGCAAATTTGGGAGCTATTCTTTGGCTAATTCCGGAGATCTCACTGATTTGCCATACTACCATCTCTGTCCGCCATCTTAGATTTGCTCTAGCTTGTGATGCCGTCTCAAGCTACTTGTGGTTCGTGTTCGAAAGTTGTGGGAAATAAGGCTCATGCACTTCGATGCTACAGCTGTGATGTTTTGTTCCATATTTCGTGCATTGGCTTATCCGTTGACGTGTTTCGAAAATCGCTCGACATCCGACATCGGTTTTTTCAAGTTATATGTGATAAATGTCGCGGTACAAGACATCAGAATACGCAGCGACCGCAAACAACTACGGAAAAATCTCTCTTTCAGATAGGAACAAACCGTTCACCACGTGGGATCAAACGCCCTCGTGAAAGTACCTCTGTCACCTCGCCTTCTATTGTCACTCCGCGATCTGCACCACCACCAGCGTCTTCGACACCGGCCGAACCCCAGGTTCAATGTTTCCCACCGATGGAAGACTCAGACTCAGAAGCTACGAAATGCCGTTTCACTGATCGGTCCGTGAATTTCTCAGAGCCTGTCTGTGAACTGCTGAACACCGAGGATCCATGGACCACTCAGAAGCGCAAGGGCCCACGTAATCGAGTTCAGACGTCACCTGCTGATAAACAACTACCCAATCAGTTAAGCGCCTCTAGTTCTGCTCCCACAGGTTCATCACTGATTTCGCTGAGGCGTCATAATCTCATGGTCTTCCACGTACCGGAGTCAAAAGATGAAAACCCTCAGATACGTTATGATCACGATGTTGAGTTCCTCCAGGGGCTCATCGATAGACTCTTGGATGTGGGCGAGGACAGTGTGACGATTAAACAAGTAATCCGACTTGGCCAGAAAACTAACCAGTCATGTCGACCTCTGAGGATCACCTTTGCAAATCCTAATATGCCGCAGCTCATACTGTCTCGTCTGTCAAGGCTGAAAGGCATAAAAGTTCACATCCGCCGAGATTTGGAACCCGAGGACAGGGATCGTTTGAAGACTGCGGTCATTGAGCTCAAACGCCGTACAGAGGAAGGTGAGACTGACTTACAAGTTGTAAATTTTCGGGTGATCAAGAAAGGTGTACGAACCCGTATCAATCGGTTGCTCAACCTCCAGGCACGTCCCGCAGTACCTCCCAGGACCTCCGTGTCGCATTCGCCAACGTGTGCAGCCTAATGAACAAACGTGACGAACTGTGCCGCTTCGCTGTCTCGGAGCGGCCGGACATTTTAGGACTTGCAGAGACATGGTTGAACTCCGACATCATACCCCAAGAAGTCGTGTTGTCAGGATACTCTTGTTTCCGATGTGACCGAAAATCAAAGGCTCACGGTGGTGTTCTGTTGTACATAAAATCGTCACTATCTGGCAAACGTATCAGTACCTATCGGAGCGAGGATAGTTTATGCGAGCAATTGTGGTGCACAATCCGTCTCAGGCGCGCAGAACTAATTGTGGGGGTTATCTACCGGAGCCCATTAAACCGTTGCTGCGATTGGATACCACATGTACAGAAGCACATGAGCCGCCCTCAGTTCTTACTGATGGGGGATCTAAATTTACCTAAGATAATTTGGCCAGATGTTCGACTTCTTCCCGGTCATGGCAACGTTGAGGCACAATT